GTGTGTGTGTGTGTGTGTGTGGGAAATCTGCTCTTCTAGATGTCTACTTTCTTCTATTCACCCACCTCGGTGGCGAAGGCACTAAACCCAAAACACGAAAGTATGACTTTCGAAGTTAGGCTTCTACCAACACGGGCCTCTCGTCGGGCTTTGAGGCACAACAGCGCCCAGGGCCCAGGGACATGCTTTGGGAGGCGGAAGGTTTGTGCCCATAGCCGATCCAGGCGATGGCTAGCCAAAGTCTCGGCTGCCAGGCCCCTTCCTTGTACACATTGAATCGCACGCAACGCGAGGCCGTGCGGCTACCTACTGGGGATTCACTATTCGACTGTCCTCCCTTTTTAACATCCGGGCTCGCGAAATGTTGGACATCCCGTCGGCAAAGGCCCGCAAGACGTGGATGAAGAATGGAACGAAAGCTCTGTGTAGCTCATGCGGGGACTTGAAACCTGTACAATCCTGTAGGGCCCCCACCCAAGCCACACAAGTTATCGCTTCCCTCACGGTGGTGGCAGGTAGCGCAAGCATGTGAAGCCCCGAAGGGGCACCGAGGCGGCTACCTCCACGTGCCAAATCTCGCAGCGTCCGAGGCTGTATTCGACGCCGCGGCAAAGAGCAGCCGCAACACAACGCGCGCGGCAGTCTTCCATGTTCTGCGCCTTTTGCACCACATAGTAGCTGTTGGAGTTCTTGCCACCAGCTGCTCGGCACGCCTGGTCAACTCCCCCGTTCATTGGGTTCAAGTACCTGCCTGGCCAGCCGAAGCGAAGGCAGGTGAAGCCATCCCAGGGCGGCTCTGAGAATGCCCAAATGCCCTCGGAGCGCGTCCAAACCTCACATCGGCCACTTTTCACGTTGAACTCCACGCCCTTGCACCCGTCCACGCCCCTCTCCTGCAGACACAAGTCCTGACAAGCCTCCAAGCTGGTGATACCTTGGTGCAAGTCGTAGTAGTCAGGGTTATTGTCTCCGTGGCCATCTCCACGGCAAGCCCGATTAAACGGGCCAGCAAACAACTCCCACTCCCGCTCACCCGAGCCAAAGGAAGTTGCGGAGCTGGTCGTTGGGGGACTTGCGGGCGTTGTGGAGCTAGTTGCGGGTGGACTTGTCGAAGTTGTGGAAGTCGTGGACGTTGTGGAGCTAGCGGGTGG